GTTATTAGTTTTTGACAAGGAATATTTTATTTTACTACCTCATGTTCTATTAAACATGAGGACCTGACTAAATGTTGAAAATGTCTCCCTTTTTGTGTATGAAAGCTTAAGAAGACTAGAGAGACTTTGGCTTCATATATATTTTTAAAAGACTTTTAATTAATCAAACTACCTCATAGATATGTATAGGTAAGTGGAATGAGCAGGGTTTCAATACTTTCCCCCCTTTTCAACGTACCTCCACTTACATTTGCTTTGTAAATTGGTTACCAAAAGATATGTTTTATTGGGCTCTATTTCTTTACAAAAATAGAAAGCCACTGGCATAATAAAATCAGTCATGTATCAAGTATCATTAATTCTATTGAATTAACCTTGAACACATACACTTTACATGAAAACTCAAATCTCTTACAAGGCACAAATTAGTGTGCACATAAGTCTTGACTGGGGATATTCATTTTTCCTTTTAGTATAGCAATGGAAAATTTTTCATTTTAATTTTCAAATGAAATGTTATGAAAAATCCCTATTTGTTGTATTGGTTGCTATTTACTTATATCTATTTACCCGTGCCTATGGTTGGCCATATACATTTATGAAAAAAAGCAACGACTTATTAAAAAGTAAAAGTGTATTTAAAGAACAGCCATCACTTGAGGGATTGGAAAAAGAGAAAATAAGCATAATTCCAAATTATGACAAATTTTGAAAGATTTTTTTAAATTTTCATTTAGGTCTCTGGGTAGAATTTTGTCCAATTTCTTTGTGACAAAATACATTCAATTTTCTATCTAGAGTACTTTGAAATCAATGAAGGAAATGTATTGCATCAGCTTTGAGAATCTACCTTTTAATAAGAACTACATATGGGCCAGGTTCTGTTCTTTTTATCATATCTAATCTTGACAATGTTCCTTTGGAATAAATCTTATTATCATACCTATTTTTAAAATACTTATATTAAGCTTCAAATAAGCTAAATATCTTATATAAATAAATTGACTGGGTCAGAATTAGAATGCAAGCTGGTGCCATGGCCGATTTGAAATATAAGTGGTACATGTGGCTCCCCCCAGCGCAAGTTGTTCATACCCTACACCTGTTCTTCTCCTTGCAGGTGTGCATATAAAATAATACTATAAAAGACATGGAATACAAAAACCAAGTAAAAAAATGTCTCATAAAAGACAGAGACGTACAGAGAAATAGGTAACATAATTGCTAAGAATAGATATAGATAAAAAATACTGGTTAAAAAAGAAAAATAATCTGAGTTTTGATATGGGAGAAAGGAAAGATTTTCTAGGATAGGAGTAGAGCAGATGAGCATGTGTAAAAATATGAACTAATAGGGAAAGTGTGATGCAGAGCAAAGAATATCATGCAAAATACATGAAGTCAGGGAAATCATATATTAAGTAGAAATGACTAAAATTAATATTTTACAGATAAAATGTCAAATATTGGAAGTTTCATCAGTTTCAACTTAGATATTTTACAGAACTACATACAGTATTTGATTTCAAAGATAACCATGGGAAGAAAGATAACCATTTTCCTGCTATTAATCATTTTGCACTGTGTGTTTTTTCTAGAAAGAAGCACACCTGGGCCAGTTTACTAAAATGTCATTCTAGATTAATTATCATGATTCAAAAGTTAGTTCAATACTCACTCCTCACAAACCATACATATGGCCTATGTTAAAAATGCAATTTTTGGATAACTAATCTAAGCAGCAACCATTGTACACTATGATTTGGAGCAACCAATACATTTGTGTCTTTTCCCTTACCTTCATGGCAAGTAACAGTGAAACCAACTTCCATGATTAGTAGAGAAACAAATTGTTGATTAAGATTATAAGCTAAAATTAAATTATAAACCATAAGTCAACATACAAATACTATTAGTTTATATAAATTATTAATTCCTTGTATTTAATAATTTGACTTTTCTTTCTTAAATTAGTTTTTTTTTTAATTTCAGGATATTATGGGGGTACAAACATTTTGGTTACATGTTATGACTTTGCCACATCCAAACCATGATTTGAGGCCTGCCCTTTCCCCCACTACAGCACTCACCATGTCCATTAGTTGTGAGATTACCTACCCCAATTAGTTTTTAAGTATACTTTTAAAAATCACATGCAGATCAGAATATATACATGAATAAAGTTAAATTATAAAAATATCTGATTAATATCTCAATTGTATCCATTTAACACATCTTTCATTGGCACTTAGAATACTCCAAGCAATCTCAGGGCTGGGGGTTGCAATGGTGGATAAAATCCCGTGTCTCTGTCACCATGTTTTAGTGGAGTACAGGGCCAAGCAGAATTGCAAACTTAAAAAGAACTGAGGAAGTACATGATACCTAGAGTACATAATAAAAGTACCTAAAACACCTAACGTATGTAATACTTAAACATACAGAGTGTTACACGATCTGGTATCTACACTGAAATTAGAAGATCATACTGCAGAAGTAAGCTGGGCATATATCACAAACATTCCAAGAGGGCGTATTGCAGAGTTTGTATTTTATACAGAGGGACGCTCACAAATCGTACATTAGGAAACACATGATCGTTACTTTTATTTGGTAACCCATTATCCCAGGAAAAGAAATGCATTTTAGAATGTTCCTTCTGAGGACATCCTTAGGGTAGGTCTGGAAACAGAGAACCTAGTCAGCAACCTGTTGTCGTGATGCCAGTGAGCAACGGCTTGGTAATCAAAACCTCTTGATATGATATACAGAAAGACTCTAACAATCACAATTATGGAATATAAGCTATTTTTGAAAAGAAACAATATAGAAATTACGGAGCTGTTTCCTTAAACTGAGAATGGTACAACATGCTTCCAGATGGAGCTATAGCTTCCTGAGTCCCCAAATGTCCCTAAGAGTATGTTGAGTTCCATATGATGTCACCAAAGCAATGTCTTTTCATCATATCCAAGAGGGCTCTCTTTCTCTCTCTCCATATGTGTGTGTGTGTGTGTATATATATATATACACATAAGAGTAGTAAGGTCTACTCCAGAAGAGATATTACGTCCCTACTAGGGTAGAAAGAGTGGGGATACAAAGAAATTGACACATTAAAGATATATTTAGCAGATGGGATCAACTAAACTTAATGATTGATTGGATATGGAGAATATAGAATCAATTAAGAGTGACATCCACACGTTTTTCTTGAAAAACTTGATGAGTTATAATAATAATTTTACTAGGGATACTGAAAAAAAGGGCAAGCTTGGGAGCAAATTTGGTGTAATGACAGGACATCTGAGTGGAAATTTTCTCTAATTAGTGGGATGTCTAGCTTAAGATAGAAAAAAATGGGCAGGAATATACATCTAGAGATCTGTAGTTGAGAGGTAGAAGGGAATGAAAGAAGAGAAAGCTCAGGAAAACTAAAAAGGATGGACACAGAGAGGAAGGTAGGTGAGAAGAAAATCAGGGATTGCAATGTGGGATCATTGAAATTTAGGCAAGAGAAAAATTTTTTTTTCTTTTATTTCAGCATATTATGGGGGTACAGATGTTTAGG